TGCCCTGGTAGTAGCACAATAAAATAGGATATTTATTGAGCTTGTTAGTGAGCTGAGGTACAAAATTCTGAACATTGATTTTAAAGAAGAATCTACATAAACAGAAATATGATGGTTACACTGAAATGTATAATTAGGTTGTAAGAAGGTTCAGAATGAAATCAGATATACTTTTATCTTCTTTTCTCCCAACTACCCATTTTTCCTATTGAAGTGAATTGGAAACACACTCAGATTACAGATAATCAGAGTTGGAAGGGACCTTGTAGGCCATCTAGTCCAATCCTCTGCCCAAACGGGAAATCCTATACCATTTCTCACAAATGTCAGTCCAATCTCTTCTTGAAAGTCTCAAGTGATGGCGCTCCCACAACTTCCAAGGGCAAGCTGTTCCATTGGTTGATTGTTCTCACTGTCAGAAAGTTTCTCCTTATTTCCAGGTTAAATCTCTCCTTGTTCAGTTTCCATCCATTATTCCTTGACTGGCCTACAGGCGCTTTAGAAAATAGCTTGACCCCCTCCTCTTTGTGGCAACCTCTCAAATATTGGAAGACTGCAATCATGTCCCCCCTGGTCCTTCTCTTCACTAGACTAGCCATGCCCAGTTCCTGTAACCGTTCTTCATATATTTTAGTCTCCAGTCCCCTAATCATCCTGGTTGCTCTTCTCTGTACTTTTTCTAGAGTCTCAACATCTTTTTTATAATGTGGTGACCAAAATTGGATGCAGTACTCTAGGTGTAGTCTTACTAAGGCTTTATAGAGTGGTATTAGTAACTCACTTGGTCTCGATTGTATCCCTCTGTTAATACAATTTAGGATTGCATTAGCTTTTTTGGCCGCTGCTGCACACTACTGGCTCATATTTAGCTGGTTGTCCACTAAGACTCAAAAATCCCTCTCACAGTTACTGCTATTGAGCCTGGTTTCACCCAGTCTATATGTGTACTTTTGATTTTTCTTACCTAAGTGTAGGACTTTACTTTTCTCTACATTGAATTTCATTTTGTTAGATACAACCCAGTGTTCTAGTCTGTCAAGATCCATCTGGATCTTGAGCCTATCTTCTTGGGTGCTAGCTATTCCTGCCAGTTTAGTATCATCTGCAAATTTGGTTAAGTTCCCCTTCTATTCCCTCATCTAAGTCGTTAATGAAGATATTACTCTCCCAATAACATATACAAGTAATCATCGACTTACAAAAGTTCATTTAGTGATCATTCAAAGTTATAACAGCACTGAAAAAAGTGACTTATGAACATTTTTCACACTTATGACAGTTGCAACCTCCCCACAGTCACGTGATTTACATTTGGAGATTGACATATTTATGACTGTTGCAGCATGCTGGGGTCATTTGATCATCTTTTGTGAACTTCTGACAAGCAAAGTAATTGGGGAAGCCCAATTCGCTTAACAACCATGTCACTAATTTAACAACTGCAGTGATTCACTTAACAAATGTGGCAAGTCCTAAAATGGGGCAAAACTCACTTAAGAAATTTCTCACTTAGCAACAAATTCTGAGCCCAATTGTGGCTGTAAGTCAAGGACTACAT